ATACATAAGTGGGTTTTTGGTTGCAGTTTGGGCACTCGGTCTCTAAAAGGTTCGCCATCACTGGTATAGGGTTTCCTGCCTGAGCAGGGGGTTGGACTAGATTACCTCCAAGGTCCCTTCCCTTGGAAGGTCCCTTCCAATTTTATTATTATTGTTGTTGTTGTTGTTGTTGTTGTTTTTGTTGTTATTATTTATTAAAAGAAAGCAAATGTAGTACCAATAATAACAGGCCCCTTGGATGCAATTTGAAAATGTCTGGAGCGCCACTTGAACACTATCAGTATTGCCAATTTACCATCAGTCAATTGGAAAATGAAGTTTTACTCAGAACAAGTGAAGAATTATCCGTAACAATACCTTTAACACCATCAAACAACACCATCTATCTATCCTAAATCCTTGGGAAGGACTTGATAGGTGGACAGAAATGACAGATCCAATCTCAACATCAGGCTGATGTTTAGACCAACCATAACAATTCCTCTTCTTATCAAATAGGATGACGGAGACCAATGATTCTCAACTGTAGCCACTTGAAGACGTGTGGACTTCAACACCCAGAACCCCCAAGCCAATACAGATAGTTCTCGACTTATAACAGGTCACTTAGTGACTGCTTCAAGTTACAACGACACCGAAAAAAAATGACTTATGGCCATTTCCCACACTTAACGACCATTGTGGTCATGGGATCAAAATTTGGATGCTTTGCAAAATGGTTCATATTTACGACGGTCGCAGCGTCTCGGGGTCATGTGATCAGCTTTTGCAACTTTCTGACCAGCAAAGCCAGATTCACTTAACAGCCATGTTACTGACTTAACAACTGAGGCACGAAAGATCGTAAAATGGGGCAAAACTCACTTAGCGACATAAATGTTGAGCTCAGTCGAGGACTGTCTGTGGATTCTGGGAGTTGAAGTCCTCACATCTTCAAGTTGTTCAAGTTGAGAAGCATTGATATATAAACCATTTTAATTCAGTTCCTTCTCTGGACAGGAACGGATACAACATGTTCACAACGGACAGTTCTCCTTCTTACACATATTTTTTTCTTACCAGTGTGACTTCATTCGTGCAGAAAAAAAATATCTGGGAAAGTTCATCTAGTACATTTTGTATGTTGGTTTCTTTCTAGCTAACAGCAGTTCCAACTCCCTAACCGCAGTGATTAATTTAGCAGCATTAAAAAAAAAAAAAAGCTGGAACATTCTGTCAGCTGAGCTGCTTTCCCTGTTCACAAATTTTTGTTTGTGAACTGTTCTTGGAAGATATCATTTTAAGGGCCGTTTAGGGCCATTTTTTTTTTTTAAAAAAAGAATTTTAAATGCATTTTTTAAAAATGTGTTTGCATATAGCAAGAGTTGTGTTTGGCAAAGGTGTCCTTTGGATGAGTACAAAAGGAGAGGAAAAAAACTATTTGGATTTAAATAAGACTGCTCTAAGTCCAAACGCATTATGCAACATTTCCATCTCTTCTTTTATCTCTCTTGAGGGACCAGGAACCAACAACCAGTAAACCAGAATGAATATTAATTGATTTAATTTGATAGAAAAGTCAGTGCCCTCCTAACCATACCCAAGCACTCCAAATTTGTTGGCGATGTCCATTTTGCTCTAGGAGTTCATGGTGACCTAACCCTAACCCTAAGTGGAATTTTCCTCCAATTGGATTTTCCCATGTATTTTACCAGGAAACATAGATAGGGCAGGCTAGAAAAGTCAGTGCCCTCCTAACCATACCCAAGCACGCCGAATTTGTTGGCGATGTCCATTTTGCTTTAGGAGTTCATGATGACCTAACCCTAACCCTAAGTGGAATTTTCCTCCAATGGGATTTTCCCATGTATTTTACCAGTAAATATAGATAGGGCAGGCTAGAAAAGTCAGTGCCCTCCTAACTATACCCAAGGACTCCAAATTTGTTGGCGACGTCCATTTTGCTCTAGGAGTTCATGGTGATCTAACCCTAACCCTAAGTGGAATTTTCCTCCAATGGGATTTTCCCATGTATTTTACCAGGAAACATAGATAGGGCAGGCTAGAAAAGTCAGTGCCCTCCTAACCATACCCAAGCACTCCGAATTTGTTGGTGATGTCCATTTTGCTCTAGGAGTTCATGGTGACCTAACCCTAACCCTAAGTGGAATTTTCCTCCAATGGGATTTTCCCATGTATTTTACCAGGAAAAATAGATAGGGCAGGCTAGAAAAGTCAGTGCCCTCCTAACCATACCCAAGCACTCCAAATTTGTTGGCGGTGTCCATTTTGCTCTAGAAGTTCATGATGACCTAACCCTAAGTGGAATTTTCCTCCAATGGGATTTCCCCATGTATTTTACCAGGAAACATAGATCGGGCACGCTAGAAAAGTCAGTGCCCTCCTAACCATACCCATGCACTCCGAATTTGTTGGTGATGTCCATTTTGCTCTAGGAGTTCATGGTGACCTAACCCTAACCCTAAGTGGAATTTTCCTCCAATGGGATTTTCCCATATATTTTACCAGCAAACATAGATAGGGCAGGATAGAAAAGTCAGTGCCCTCCTAACCATACCCAAGGACTCCAAATTTATTGGCGACGTCCATTTTGCTCTAGGAGTTCATGGTGACCTAACCCTAACCCTAAGTGGAATTTTCCTCCAATGGGATTTTCCCATGTATTTTACCAGGAAACATAGATAGGGCAGGCTAGAAAAGTCAGTGCCCTCCTAACCATACCCAAGCACTCCAAATTTGTTGGCGACGTCCATTTTGCTCTAGGAATTTATGGTGACCTAACCCTAACCCTAAGTGGAATTTTCCTCCAATGGCATTTTCCTATGTATTTTACCAGGAAACATAGATAGGGCAGGCTAGAAAAGTCAGTTCCCTCCTAACCATACCCAAGCACTCCGAATTTGTTGGTGACGTCCATTTTGCTCTAGGAGTTCATGGTGACCTAACCCTAACCCTAAGTGGAATTTTCCTCCAATGGGATTTTCCCATGTATTTTACCAGGAAACTTAGATAGGGCAGGCTAGAAAAGTCAGTGCCCTCCTAATCATACCCAAGCACTCTGAATTTGTTGGCGGTGTCCATTTTGCTCTAGAGGTTCAAGATGACCTAACACTTTCCCTAATACATGGGAAAATCCCATTGGAAGAAAATTCCACTTAGGGTTAGGTCATCATGAACTTCTAGAGCAAAATGGACACCGCCAACAAATTCGGAGTGCTTGGGTATGGTTAAGAGGGCACTGACTTTTCTAGCCTGCCCTATCTATGTTTCCTGGTAAAATACATGGGAAAATCCCATTGGAGGAAAATTCCACTTAGGGTTAGGGTTAGGTCACCATGAACTCCTAGAGCAAAATGGACGTCACCAACAAATTTGGAGTGCTTGGGTATGGTTAGGAGGGCACTGACTTTTCTAGCCATGGGAAAATCCCTATTCCACTTAGGGTTAGGGTTAGGTTGAACTCCAAAATGGGTAAAATACATGGGAAAATCCCATTGGAGGAAAATTCCACTTAGGGTTAGGGTTAGGTCACCATGAACTCCTAGAGCATTCCACTTAGGGTTAGGGTTAGGTCACCATGAACTCCTAGAGCAAAATGGACGTCGCCAATAAATTTGGAGTCCTTGGGTATAGTTAGGAGGGCACTGACTTTTCTAGCCTGCCCTATCTATGTTTCCTGGTAAAATACATGGGAAAATGCCATTGGAGAAAAAATCCACTTAGGGTTAGGGTTAAGTCACCATGAACTTCTAGAGCAAAATGGACGTCGCCAACAAATTCGGAGTGCTTGGGTATGGTTAGGAGGGCACTGACTTTTCTAGCCTGCCCTATCTCTATTTACATTGCCTGTGATTATTGAACACAGATGACGTTATCGGACCTTTGCATCTTCCAATAATAATTTATTTTCCCATTTGTAGGTTCAGTTTACTTTCTTAATGTGGTTGTGTATCAGATACGGAAAGAATCTTTGCGAGAATAGCAGACCATCACTCTCTTTATTACTAAACACCACTATTAGTAATTCAGCAGTGTTTGGATGCTGGCTTTATACGGCCCCATATCCCACTAGAATAGAATAGAGCTGGAAGGGACCTTGGAGGTCTTCTAGTCCAGCCTCCTACTCAAGCAGGAGATCGTATACCACTTCAGACAAGTGATTGTCTAGGCTCTTATTTAAAATCTCCAGTGATGGAGCGCCCATGATTTCTGGAGGCAAGCTGTTCCACTTGTTAATTGTCCTCACTGTCAGGAAGTTTCTCCTTAATTCCAGGTTGCTTCTCTCTTTGGTCAGTTTCCTTCCATTGTTTCTTGTCCTACCCTCTTGTGCTTTGAAAATAGTTTGACCCCCTCTTCTTTATGGCAGCCCCTCAAATACTGGAATACTGCTGTCATGTCATCCCTATGTCTTCTTTTCTTTAGTCTAGCCATACCCAAATCCTGCAGCTTTTCTTCATATGCTTTAGGCTCCAGGCCTTTGATCATTTTAGTTGCTTTCTCTGAACTTTTTCCAAAGCCTCAACATCTTTTTTGTAGTATGGTGACCAAAACTGGTTGCAGTATTCCAGGTGTGGTCTCACTAGGGTTTTATAAAGCGGTACTAATACTTCTTGTGATCTTGATTCGATGCCTCTGTTTACACAACCCAGGATTGTATTAGCTTTTTTGGCTGCTGCTGCACACTGCTGGATCATAGTCAACTGATCGTCCCCTAGGACTCCAAGGTCCCTCTCACAGTTGCTGTTTTTGAGCCAGGTCTCACCCAATCTGATTAGACTAAACCCCACTGTAGTTGTTTCATTGTGGTTTAGCTTAAAATGTTATGCAAATCCAATTGTTTTTATTTGCATCCTTTGCATAACAGAATAGGAGAGAGAGAGGGAAAGAGAGAGAGAGAGAGGGAGAGAGATGTTTAATGAGAAGTATACTTTTTACAATTGCTTTGAATTTTATATCCCAACTTGAATTCTTTCTTTCTCTTTCTTTTCCATTTTCAATAGCATTTGCAAACATGGATTCTCTTGGTCGCGCAATTAGTAGGAAAAAGGAAGCCTAAACCTTTCATTTTGGTAAGTTACATTTTAACAGGACGAGATGATTTAGAATGACTGTCTTGATTTTTATAGTTTGAGTGATAATTCTTCTTGAATGGCCTTTGTTAAGATTGTTTCAGTTTGGTTTTGCGTGCAGGTAGTCCTTGCATTACAACAGTTCATTTAGTGACCGTTTGAACTTACGATGACACTGAAAAAAGTGACTTACGATGGTTTTTCACACCTACGACGATTGCAGCGTCCCCATGGTCATGTGATCACAATTCAGATGCAAATGACTCATACTTATGACGGTCAGGTGATCTCCTTTTGTGACCTTCTGACAAGCAAAGTCAACGAGAGAAGCCAGATTCACTTAACAACTGTGTTACTCATTTAACAACTGCAGTAATTCATTTAACAACTGTGGCAAGAAAAGGTCGTAAAATGGGGCAAAACTCACTTAACAAATTTCTCACTTAGCAATGTAAATTCTGGGCTCAGTTGTGGTCATAAATCAAGGACTACCTGTGTATAAAAAAGTGTTATCCATTTTTCATCATGAAACCATAAGTGGGTTTAATGGACACGAGAGTAGATTTTCTCTGGTAGCCACAAAACTATGGAACTTTGACCCTTTAGTTTGTGAGGTTTTATTATTATTATTTCTCATCATCTAATACTTTGGCTGCGTCCAGCAATCTGTAGGCAAGCTTTTAAAATCTTTAAAGGTTTTTCTCATTTGGCTGTGTCTTAGATGCAATTCTTAAATCTTTGGTTTTTGCTTCTCATCTAACAAGCTTCTTCAGTTCTGAGTGAACGAATTAAAAAAAAAAACCTTCTAAATGATAGATGGGATTGCTATCATGCAGGTGTATCTCACAACAGCCTAATTAAACTTGCTTTATAGTTGGAATGTTTTTAAAATGCTAGTTCAGGGGTAGGGAACTGTGGCTCTTTTATGACTTGTGGACTTCAATACCCAGAATTCCTGAACCAGCCATGTTGACTCGGGAATTCTGGGAGTTGAAATCCACAAGTCATAAAACAGCCAAGGTTTTCTATCCCTGTGTTAGCTGGATTTTCATCAACCGCCTTGAGCATCTGGAATTACAAAGACATCTGATAAAATGAGTGAATAGAATCAATCAAGGTAATTGCACATCCTTCTGGTAGATAAAGCAACCATGGATAATTCTCTTTAGCAAAGGCACAGAAAACATTTCTAGAGATGTAAACAGTATGCCCAGATTTGTCATTTTGGGCTAGCCAATAAGATTAGGCATCTGCCATTTGAATTAAATGGGCCAACCACTAGACCTTGTGGATTTCCTTTAGGTTGCAGCCCAATTTCAGTGGAAGAAAAGCATGGGTTTGTAAAATGACAGTCTCCTCTAATGGCTAACTTCATGAAGACAAGAGCAGGCAGAGTTGAGGGGTGGAATTAAATAGGTCATCAATTTAGAGTCCTTGCGTGGTCACAAGAGATCCTAGTCCAGCCCCCCCCCCTGAATTCCATTGACCCTTACCTAGCATCAATTTAGTTAGTTGACTAGATTCTTGTGTATAGATTTGAATAACTCTTCTATGCTACAACTTTACAAACGATCTTGATTCTTTGGGCTTAATACTTCACACAACATGCTAAGCCCACACTAACAATGCAGTGGTTGTGCTCACTTCAGCATGCTGCGCATAAGCAATGAAGTGATATTAGGCATGATTGAAGGTACACAACCTGCTCCCTTATTAAGTACTCACCCTCATTTTTGGTCTGTTGCACGAACCCAGCTATCTTGTGATCAAGGCATTCCTAGAGATGAAGGAGGCAAATCAGAAAGAGAAAGAAAAAATCCTAATCCCCTCTTATAGTGTTTAATTTTCTTATAGCTCAAAGTACTGTAGACCTTGATGTCCTATTTCTTTAGCAACAGGGTTCCCACTGTTTTTCTTGGGTGGCCAATTCCACCGTCTAATAATAGTCCTCTCCATTAGGAAATGCTCCCTGCTATCAGATATTATACATTTATGATGTGATTGCTATCCTTTTCCATCTCTCTCTCTCTCTTCTCTTTATCTCTCCCCCTCTCTCCAATCTACAAAGCTTTTCATAGCCCCCTTCTTCACCCTCCAGTATTGATGGCTTCAGATATCTCTTCCTAAAGAAGAAAGCTGTGGGGCACAGGTTGAGTTTTCTCTGTTCATCCTCACCCCAGCAATACCTGAACCCCAACATCTTTTAAAGTGCTGGGACAGAGACTCCATGGAGAATTAATACCAAATCAAGTTCTTACACTAGAGGGTACTTAAATGAACAGTCTGGCTTCCTAGTAAAGCTAGCAAGATAGCTGGAACGTAGCCAAGGTTTTTTCGAGGTAGGTCACCATATTGCTTCTTTCCCCATAATCCATTTCTGTTTGGATTTTGCTGTGCAGAAAGACCATTCCCCCCCCCCCACCACGTTGATATTCCTGGGGACAGTTCTGCTTTTATCTCTGTGTGATTGACGGAAAGCTTTTCTCTCGGATATTAATTGTACACTTTGAGGGGCTTAGTACACCATTTCTAGTCTACGATCTTCACTTTGTCAAGTTGGGATCCCGGCAGGCCATGACTTTAGAAAGCATCGTTGGGGTGGGAGCCACAAAGTTCTATTGTTGCAAATTGTGGCACGAGGCAGAGCGCTCTCTGCGTAGGGCGGCCTATTACTGCAAAAACGTCCCCCCAGATGAGTGCTGTACACACTCCGCCTCTTCCAGATGGGGGTCCTTTTCATTTTAGGCTTAAAGCAATTGCTCCATTCTGCCAGCACGCTTTCTCGGTAGGGGGACGCGAGTTGCTCAATGCTGTGAGTTAGCGAGAAGAAAGGCTGGTCCCTGTTTGATCTTCTCAAGTTGCCAGCCCTTTATTTTTAGAAGTGAAAACAAAGTCAGCTCTTTTACGCGAAGGGCTGAGAAATAGCACCTGCGATGGAGGATGCTCTCAAAGTTTTTGTGAGGAGGAGGAGGGGCTCCTGTAAGGTTTTCTTTCTTCCTATTCATTTTTTTCTCCCCCACCCAATTTGTCTTTTAAACGTCACCTTTGCAAAAATGGTACAAGTATAATTTGAGTGCCCCTCTGAACATAGAATAACAGAGTTGAGGGGGGTCTTCTAGTCCAACCCCCTGCTCAAGCAGGAGACCCTGCACCATTTAAGATAAGTGCCTGTCCAGTCTCTTCTTAAAAGCCTCCAGCGATGGAGAGCCCACAACTTCTGAAAGCAATCTGTTTCCAGCAGTGGATTGCTCACACCGTTAGGAAATTTCTCCTTACTTCTAGGTCACTAGGTCACTTCTAGGTCACTTCTCTCCTAGGTACTTCTCTCCTTGGTTGGTTTCCAACCATTGTTTCTTGTCTTGCCTTCTGGTGCTTTGGAAAATAGTTTGATCCCCTCTTAGGAGCCCCTCAAATATTGGAAGCACAAACATTGGACATACTCCGCTTAGAAGCAATGCTGGAAAGGAAAAATGATAATTACATTCTGCAATATTGCAGAACTGTTGGGAAAAGAAGGGATGGGGTGTCTTTGGTAATGACTAGCAGGTGTACTTATGATATAGGTCCGTGGTGGCGAACCTATGGCACGTGGGCCACAGGTGGCAAGCAGAGCCCTCTCTGTGGGCATGCGCACTGTCGCCCTAGTTCTAGGCCTTCAGCTGGGTTTTATAAAACCTTTTCGCTTGAGGCCTCCACCGCCGTGTGTACAAAAAAAAAAGGTTCAATCAATCAATTTCAACTTCTTGCGGTAAAAAAAAAAGATCTCACAAAGTTGGAATTGATGGATTGAACTTTTTAATCCCACCCAGTCTGCCTTTACCACCACAGCTACACCCACCCCATGGGCCACGCCCACCCGGCATCCAACGATACATAAGTGGGTTTTGGGTTGCAGTTTGGGTACTCGGTCTCTAAAAGGTTCGCCATCACTGATATAGGGAGTCCTTGACTTACAACCATTCATTCAGTAACTGTTTCAAGGTACAACGGCACTTCTGACCTTTTTTCACAGTGACGACCATTGCTGTGGTCACGTGACCAAAATTTGGACGCTTGGCAACTGACTCATATTTATGACGGTTGCAGTGTCCCGGGGTCATGTGGTCCCTTTTTGTGACTTTCTGACAAGCAAAGTCAGTGGGGGAAGTTGTTACTAACTTAACAAATGTAGTGATTAGTTTAACAACCAGGCAAAAAAAGAAGTTGTAAAATGGGGCAAATCTCACTTAACAACTGTCCTGCTTAGCAACAGAAAAGCGGGACTCAACTGCGGTCCTAAGTCCAGGACTACCTGTATTGCCAGGGTACTTTTCTACTCACTTCCAGACAGTTGTAAAATGTAGGTTATTTTTTTCCTTTGTTAAGGAGAAGACACACAAAAAAGGCAGGTTTAAGCTACAGTACATCCAGGGGCACTGAATGCTGATTTTCTTGGAAGTCTAAAGAATGATTCTTTTGTTAAAATTTCATGGGTTGGTGCTGGTCCCTTTCTACTTAATAAGATTTTCTTGTCAGTCTTTCCCAACATTTCTCTTCTTTGCTGCTCAGTGTCAGCAGCATTTTTGTTCCATGGCTGTGTCTCCAATGCATTTAACCGTGGCACAAAGATGCCCTGACAATATTTATTTTCCGCTTGTCCCTTGATACTGTCCTTACCTTGTCCTAGCCTTTAAGGTCTCATTAGCTGCACCGTCTTGAAGCACATCCAATACTGGCCAGTCAATAACCTCAGCCTATAAAATCTGTAGGCTTTTTCACACAATTCCATGGCGGCAGGGGGAGGGGAGACCGGTGACGGCCAGTGACTTGGGAATACAAGCAATAGATTCAGAATAGGTATCGGCAATGAGAATAGCAAATGTCATGGAGTGTTTTCCTATCCAGGGTGAGTTGATAGCAAGTCAACTCAACGGTGGAGAATGGCTCCTAAGAGAGATGGAGAACTGATAAAAAGGGAATGAATATAAAGGGAGGCAAATAGCAGAAGAGGAAGTAAGAAG